TTATAAATATTCAATTTATTAGTTTATTAGTTTATGCGGCAGTTTTCTAAATTTAAAGAAAAGTTAATGCATATTTTTTACACTTAAAAATCAGTCATTTACTTCTCTCTCTCTCTTATCTCCGTTCCTCTTTCTTTCTTTTTCTCTCTCCCCTCCTCCTTTAATATGTAATTTAAAAATCGTTGAGTTTATTATATTAATTCACAAAGGGCACTATTCGTTCTATTTAGCAATAGGTCGTAGATACAACAACCGGTTTGTACGCAAAATTCAAATTTTCTGAATTTTGGATATTATCTCATATAAAAATTATATTTTTACATAATGATTGTAATAATACATAAATATTTTTATTTGCAGGTGGACGGTGACGGTAACAAAAATATTAAGTGGCGCTGTATATATTAGCTGCCCTAAATCAAATATCAGCGCTGTACATCGGCTGCAATAAATTAAATATTGGCGCTTGTATTTCGGCTGCCATATACGAATCTCGGCGCTGTCTTCGGCTGCCATAAATTAAATATAAGAGAATTAAAACTAAATTAATATTTTTTAAGGATTTTACAAATTTAAGAAATTAATAATTAAAATTATTAATTATTAGTTGTTATTGCATCTTTCAATAATTTATTATTGTTACTTTCTCAAAATTAATAAACTCTATTTAAGTTAAAAATATAATAATATTAATAATATTAATAAAATAAAAATAAATAGTTCTATTTTTAATATTTAATTATTATTTTTAAAAAAAAATTATTATTAATACATATTCTATACATTCCTGAATATTTACATGATGCAAATTATATTTAAAGGTGAATGTTTAAATAATAATCATATTGATTATTTTGGATGGTTATTAAAAAATTGTTCAGAATATCATCCACGTGAATCATGGAGAATCCAATGCCCTGATACGATTGAACCCGTTTCTGAAGATCAGGAACATATTCAAATATTATATAGTTGTAATGATTTGAAAACGAATATAAACGGACATTGGGTTTGCAGTTATTACAACACAAAAACAATTTACATTTATGATTCATTGAATTTAAAATGGTTGCATGTGCATCATAAGATTTATCTTGAAAAATTATATCCGTTTTACTCATTTGAGAAGAAAACAATACAGTTTCCAAAAGTTCAAGAGCAATCTAATAAAAATGATAGTGGAGTTTTTGCAATTGCATTTGCAGTATCACTTTTATTCGGACTTCGACCAAATACAATTATGTATGATCATAGTTTGATGCTTCAACATTTGACACAAATATTTTAATCAAATAAAATAGAACATTTTCCTCGAATTATAAGACCTGGTGACCCAAAGCAATTGTGTTCTTTGGATAAGGTACAAAAAAGAAAAATATTAGCTAAGAAGAAACGAAAATTTCGAATAGAAAAAAGTAAGGAAGAGAAAAGTACAAATATTATACAGTCTGTTAATATTAATAATAGTTTAACAAGTTCTTCTTGTTTGTCAATGCATACAAATAATTTGCATATAAATAAATCAACAAATATTAATTACAATATAACAGAAAGTACAACTCCAATGAAAATAAACAATCAATTTACACAATCTTTAAAGGAAATGTCTGATACAAATTTTGTTTCTAATATTTTACCTTTAAGTACGCATTATATACAAATAATTCTTAGAGGTGAATGGTTAGAGGATATTCATATAGATTATTTTAATTCATTATTAAAAATTTTTTCAGAATACGAACCACGTGAATCATGGAAAATTCAATGTCCCGATAGAATTAAACCCGTTTCTAAAGATAAGAAACATATTCAGATATTACATAGTTGTAGCGACATGACAACTAATTTAAATGGACATTGGGTTTGTAGCTATTATGATACTAAAATGATTTATATTTACGATTCACTAAATTTAAAACAATTGCATGTGCACCATAAAATTTATCTTGAGAAATTATATCCTTTTTATCAATTTGATAAACAATTAATACAGTTTCCAACAGTCCAAAATCAATCTAATGGTTGCGATTGTGGTGTTTTTGCAATTGCATTTGCAGTGTCACTTTTTTATGGTCTTCAACCAGATACAATTACATATAATCAGAATTTAATGCGTAAACATTTAGCACAAATGTTTGAATTAAATAGAATAGAACATTTTCCCCAAGTTACAAGATCTAATTCAGAACAAGTTACTTGTGAAAATGTATTCAATCAAAATGATATAAGTTGTGATACTAATAATATCACAACTTCTGAGAATTTAAACACAACTGAACGTGGTATCAAAAGAAAAATAAATTTCATTGATACTGTAAATGCTAAGAAAAAAAATAAACATGTTTATTTGAAAAGTGTACTTCATAAAACAGATATTAATTTATCTAAAAATAAAAGTATTGCTAATAAGAAGTATTATGAACTACTTAAAAATTATTTACTTAAAAAACGAAAAGAAAATTACAAAATTTATAAAAATAATTTATGTTATAAAAGGCAAAA